GTGACTTTCTACTCAATCCTTTAGCTATACATAGGCAACTGAGCATTCAAAATGGACAAAAACTGATACAGTGAGTTTCTTTTCATATAGATGAAGTGTTGTTTTTGAATTTTTTGAAAAACAGGAACCTTTAATTCAATTAAGTTTCCTAAATAACTTTACTATTATTTTCAGTTGGAAGGCTGTCCCCTGTGTACATCCCCCCACCCCATAGTGGTCTGTATAAAATCCAGCATATTTTCATGTAGTTTAATAGCTCACATTAAGGGCTCAAGATTCTCCATGACCTTACAGATCATCATGCATGGTGTATCTACAAATCTTTGCTCCTTGAAATGTTAGGGTTGCCACCCTTCTACATTTGAAACAGAAAAATAGCATGAGAAAAAATTAAAAGAGATACAAGGAACCTCAAATAACTATGGTTAACTATATCAAGGAGAGTTTATTCAAATTAGTGTACAGAGATCGTAAATAACCACTTAAAATTTATTTAACCATAGTTTTTTCAGAAGATCACTTTAATCCAGTTATAGTGCACTCATTGCACTCCAGCAAATATGCCATTGTATTTTAATAGAAAAGAAAGCCAAGCTATATTGAAAAGTGATCATCCCAAATTGTTAGATTAATTTTTTAAAACCAATTACTCTGAGGTAAGTTAGTTGAAGTGGTGAATGGTTATAAAGTAAATTAAATCTATAACTCATTTGCTGCTTGGTATGTTTAGACCGCTGACTTTAAGTAAGTTTATTACCTGTGCACATAAAATCCTAATCGAACTTCAAGAAATGTATAATTGACTACTGTCATTTCATGCTTTTAATATTTTATTAGCAGCAAGAAACAGCATTTTTCAGGACAGGTAAGAACGTTGGCAAACAAAGAACTCCCAGCTGGTATAGAAAATAGGCATGTTCACAGCCTATAAAAACAGAGACTATATGGCTACACTGGCAATACAAAATACCCCAATTTAGGTCCAACCGTAAAACCTAGCTCTCACAAGAGACAAAAGGATTATCCAATTAGCCATAAACGCCACAAATTTAGCATATGAAATACTGGATTTCAGAAACTGTTTGCCAATTAAAACAGTTAAGTGCATTCTAAATTTACAACTTAAAGGTGGCAAAAGAAGAACATACAAAGCAAAAGCTATTGATGGATTTGAAGGCAAAATTGAAATCTGCACAGGGAAGAAAAGTAAAACTTGAAGATCACAAGTTCTGCGAGCATTGTAGTTGCACTATAAACTTCCCACTATGTAGGAAGTATTTACTAAGACTTTAGGCATATTTCAAAGGCATCCATACTGAAGCAGCAGTGGTGCTGTTAGGCAGTTCTTAGCTTGTTTTTAAAGTGGTCATGTTCAAAACTATTTGTAGGTGGCTATTAAAAATGAATGCAGATTACACGCTTAAAAAGCATCACAACAAATAATTTAGCTCTGTTAGTTTTCTTTCAATTAGCCATTCTCACTAAAATATTGAAGAAAACAGACAACTGAATTATTTAAAACTTCAGAAATGCAGATGCCAGCACTTCAGCTATATGGATGCTAAACATTTTCCCTAAAGAGATTACAGCCAACAAGCTGGAAAATGTAAACAAGACTTTATCTTCCTGAGTTGTTAAAAGACAATAAATTTAAAAGGAAATATTTTATAATTTCTCCCACAAAATGTTTCCACTTCTAAAAATGAATAGGTCAACAAAAGCAAAAAAAAAAAAAAAAAAAATCCTGAAATATTAGACCAATTAAGAAACTTGGTGACCTATCTATAAGCAGAGCTTATACACTTCTGAAACATTACCAGAAAATGTAATAAAGATATGTTAAAAGTCTAATTATTATTTATCCAAATTAATAATCTATTTTAAAAAGAAAGTTTCATGAAACTGGCAAAACATTAAATTTAGAGAATTAATTACATTTAAGAAGGAAATTAAACTTTTCAGACATCTCATATCCACAGAATATTGGTATCTCCATTTCCATCAATCATTAAGTCACTCTCTCCACATGTTGAGTTACTGAGATGTGCAACAAAATCCATGTAATTAAATCTCAAAGATACACCATGCAGGCCTACAGGAAAATAGTATCTGAGATGAGACAAAATGCACACAGCTACTGACCATGTGCAATATGGTGTATTAAGGCCTGAAACATTCATTAATTTGAAGTTTGCCTTAGAATGTGACGGAAGCTAAAACATGAAAGTTATGCTTTGATTCAGGAAAAAAAAAAAAAAGTGTTGCCACAGTGGGTGCATCCACACATGCCAGCATGTCCACTTGCAGCAGCTCAAATGGAAGTGGTGCAAATTTTAGCTGGGGCTTTTTACCTCAGTGCACGTGCCCGGACATGAACTTTTGTGTGGGGTAAATTGTGCCACTTGGGACAAAATAACCCTGCCTGGCTCCTCCCAGATCTACAGCCAGGGGGAGCTAGAGCCTGGGGCCAGCCCCTACCCTGGCCCCAGCAGTACAAAAAGCTGCCCTGGCAAGTAGCTCAGGGCTACTCGCTCTCAGGAGCTTCTGGGGCCCAGCCAGTTGGTACCTGGGGACACTACCCCTTGTGCCAGCTGGACTGCTGAAGCAGCCCTGAGAGTTACCTGTACCCTTTACCCACTGCAGCAGTCTGGCAGTGGGGGCTGCTACCTGGTTGCGACCTGCTGCGTACCTGCCAGACCCAGATGGGGACTGCACAGCCAGTAGAGGCATCTGCCCCTCTGGGCCAGCTGCCAGTGGGCTGTGGCTGCAGAGTTGGCTTTTGTGTGGCACTACTGCCACATGTGCCCCCTGCCTGGCCATCTGGGCAGCTTATCACCCAGATGTTCACAGTGTGGTGTCCTGCTTTGAACTGTCAAAGCATGTCCTCCTGATCACAACTGGCCAGGAGGCCAGCCACCTCTAGCTGGTTCCAAAGTGTCAGCTCTGAGCAGGGTCCTCTGCCACTTGCCTCCCTAGCAGGAATTTTGGTGTTCCCTATTTGAAAACTGAAAAATCCCCAGTAAAAAAATCCCAAAGCCACTCTGTAAAATACCCCGAAATCCATGTTACTCCACAATTCAAACAAAAAACCATGAGAGAGAGAGAGAGAGAGAGAGATCACGTGGACAATGCTTTATTGATCTCTCTACAGTGTTAAAGCAATTTGGAAGCCTACCAGTGTTACTATCATCATCATAAAATGAATTCTAAAAACCTATATGTTTTGCTGTTTACCTTTGGTTTTCTTACCATACAGCAGTTAGAGCTCCCTGTGACCCCTTCACTAACCAGGATGTGGGGACAGCCGCACCTGCAGCCACAGCTCCTGGCAGCAGGGGATGCAAGGTGTGTGCTGGGGGGATGTGGGTAGGTGTGGGTAGACTGTGGGGGGACTGCTCAGGGGGGGTGGGTCCCCCTACTTACCAGCAGGAGCCTGGGTCCAGCTCCCTGCGGCTGGCACTGGAGGGACGGCCCCACAGCGCCAAGCCCTGG